GGACTGAAATCGAGCAGAGAGAGAACGAATACGAGCAGAATGAATACGAGCAGAACGAGAACGAACACGAGACGAGCAGATCAGAAAAAGAACGAATTCGAGCAGAATGAATACGAGCAGAAAGAAACGCATACGAGCAGAATGGAAACCAAGCAGAATGACAAAGAACACGAGCAGAATGAATAAATGAGGTTGGAGGACAGGGCTTGCTGAGGAAAATGAGAACTTTATATTTCTTAATGTTTTGGGATTCTCTGGGTGGGTGGGTTTTTTTCTAGAGTCCAGACAGCGGCTCTACTAGAGATTGCTCGACCCAGAGCTGCTGAACCCTAAACCCTAAACCCTAAACCCTAAACCCTAAACCCTAAACCCTAAACCCTAAACCCTAAACCCTAAACCCTAAACCCTAAACCCTAAACCCTAAACCCTAAACCCTAAACCCTAAACCCTAAACCCTAAACCCTAAACCCGTAAACCCTAAACCCTAAACCCTAAACCGTAACCCTACAGCCCCCCAAAGCAGAAAAAATCCGAGAATTGGAGACCCCAATCCAGGTAAACCCTGTAAACCCTACGTTCTGTTGTTCACGGCAATGACCGATCAGTTGAACGACTCTCTTCTCATTGGTGCTGGTGGAGCTCATCCCTTCCCCCTAATATTAAACGGGGGGGGGGGGGGGGGGGGGGGCCCTTAAAAAAATCTCGAAATGTGTTTTTTTTATTATTAGGGCGAGGTTTTTATCGAAATGTCATAATTAACCCTAAGCCCTAAACCCTAAACCCTTAACCCTATACCCCAAACCCTAAACCCTCTGAGGGTTTCATTGGTGTTGAGGGGTTTATTGGAGGCCTGAACCCCCCCCAATTCAAAATGGGTTTTAAATGGATTTTTTAGATTTGTTTTTCCGGAAAGCGTTTAATTACTAGGGTGGTCTTCAAGAGTAAAAGGGGGAAGGGATTAACGTGAAGCTAGAGAAAGTTGCCTTCATGTCTGAGGCCCTGGCAGTTGCACAACACCGGTTCGGCAAGGGTGTGCCACAGAGAACCTTGGCAAGCCCTCTAAACTATGGCACCTTGGCGTGAAGCACAAAGCGCCACACCCGGAATTCGCAAAGTGGCCAGGTTAAGGTGTGGAACGGAAACAGCTTTGAAGAGCAAAGTCGGCTTGGCGTAGCCCAAAATCTCGACGGGTTTCTTATTGCAAATCCAAGCCCGGATGTGTGTATAAGTCCTATTTCCTAAAACTGAAGCACCAGAAGCCCTTAATCACATGTATTGTTTAAGGTGATCACAAGCTGTAGCGCAAAGTTACTCTCCTTGCAGCCCCAAGAACCCAAAACCCAATACCCTAAGCCCGCAACCCAACACCCCAACACCCTAATCCCAAACCCTAAGCCCTGAACCCTGAACGATTCTTCAACTAGCCCAGAGTAAGCCATTTTTTCGTTTTTGCTAGGGATCAGCTTCCCTTAAACCCTAACCCTAAACCCTAAACCCTAAACCCTAAACCCTAAGGTGCCCTTATAAGCTCTTTAGACCCCAAAAAAAGGGCACCCTTCTGGTGCCCAGGCGACTCTTGGAGCCCTAAACCCTAAACCCCACACCCTAAACCCGAAACCCTAAACCCCAAACCCCAAACCCTACACCCCAAACCCCAAACCCGAAACCCTAAACCCCAAACCCTAAACCCTAAACCCTAAACCCCAAACCCCAAACCCTAAACCCTAAACCCTAAACCCTAAACCCAAACCCTAAACCCTAAACCCCTTAACCCCTAAACCCCAAACCCTAAACCCCAAACCCTAAACCCTAAACCCTAAACCCTAAACCCCAAACCCTAAACCCTAAACCCCGAACCCATGGCGCAGGCCGGCGCTTGGACGGTGACCGCGGCCTGGAGGGCCCCTGAAGTGCCAGACCTCGGCCCATCGTGGGGCGAAGCTAAGGGTGTAGGGTTTGGGGTTTAGGGTTTAGGGTTTAGGGTTTCGGGTTTGGGGGTTTAGGGTTTAGGGTTTCGGGTTAGGGTTTAGGGTTTCGGGTTTGGGGGTTTAGGGGTTTAGGGGTTTAGGGGTTTAGGGGTTTAGGGGTTTAGGGGTTCAGGGGTTTAGGGTTTTTAGGGTTTAGGGGTTTAGGTTTAAGGGTTTAGGGCTTTAGGGCTTTAGGCTTTAGGGCTTAGGGCTTAGGGATTGGGGTTTATGGCGGGGGTTGAGGGTTTAGGGCTAGTTTCAAGGCTTTTTTTTGGGGGGGGGGGGGGGGGGGGTTAGGGTTTCGGGTTGAACCTCTGTAGGGAGCAGGTTAGGGATGTGGGGCTTCAGGGCTTCTGAGGGTTTCAGGGAGGAAGGCTGTTTGAAAGTTTGGAAATCGGGTTTTGGGGTTTAGGACAGAAATGTGGCCCCTCATGAAGCCTGCAAACCCTATAAGTAAGCCCTACAAACACTATGCCCTATAAACCCCGATAAGCCCTATAGACCCTGTAAACGCTGTCAGCACCGGAAGCGCTTCTTACCCCTATACACCCCTACAAAACCTCGTAAGCCGCATAACCCCTAAAAAACCCATACAATCTAGAAACCCTACAAGCCACAGACGCCCTGTAAACCCCAAAATTCTGTGCGTGGGAGGGGGGAAAGTCGTAGCGAAGTAGCAGGGGATTCGATGACTTTCTTCAGAGTTCAGGGTTTAAAGCCTCGGCCCCCAAGCGCATAACCCCTGATGGGTTGAAGTTCAGGTGCATGGGCATTTCCTCAGCACCTACCTCCCCGAGCCACGGCCCGGGGACGAAGCTTCTCGCAAGGCGCCCATTCTTGGGATTCACTGAGGGCCGGAGTAGTTCCCTCCACCACCTGGGTTTAGGGTTTAGGGTTTAGGGTTTAGGGTTGCCAAATAAGGCCGTGGATCCTACAGAAATCTACAGAAGATAGCTTCAGAGCTTCAGGCAGCTGAAGACCGGGACGACCGAAGAATGTTTGCTGGTTCTTCGGTCATTCAGGAACTCGGTACCCCATGTCCCCCTGTATAATAAGCCCTCAATGGTTTCCTACACAATTCCGGGATGTCGTGCCCCATTCTGGGTGGTTGTCGCTTGCTCTGGGGAGCCGATCCTTGATGTATGTCCATCTCGACCGATGACCCTAAACCCCAAGAAGCTTAATCACCAAACTCTAAAGCCTAAACCGGGTTCAGGGTTTAGGGTTTAGGGTTTAGGGTTTAGGGTTTAGGGTTTAGGGTTTAGGGTCTAAGCCCCCTGTAAACCCTAAACCCATCTTTCCTGGGCCCGCCAGGAATCTACCAAACCACCGTCACACCACGTGTCCTTGTCAAGGCCGGGGTGGGGGACCCTCCTTCGAGCTTCGGTTCCGTCGTTGCTTCTGGGGTTTAGGAGTGAGAGCTTCGGGTTTGGAGTTTAGTTTTGGGGTTGCGGGGTTCAGGATTCAGAGTTTGGAGTTTAGGGGTTTAGTCCATTTCGCCGATGCTGCATTCGCTACAGCCCTACACCCTACATCCTTTAACCTTTAAGCCCAAAAGCCCCTGAACCATAAACCCATTGAACTTAAAACCCTAGGGTGAGGGTGAGTCCGAGGGGGTTGCTGGACCACAAGCGGGAAAGGACGACCTCCCTGACAGGCTGTTTAGGCTTCGAAGTGCAGGGGTTTCCCTCTGGGGCATCCTTGCCTACACCCCAAACCCTCAACCCTAGACCCTAAACTGTAAACCCTAGACTAGGGTTTAGGGTTTAGGGTTTAGGGTTTAGGGTTTAGGGTTTAGGGTTTAGGGTTTCGGGTTTAGGGGCGCCTACCAAGCCCAACAGCTCGCGGCTTGTCTGCTAGGACCTTTCTCGTGTTCGCAGATGCGGAAGATCTACGAAGACGCCTCGTGGAAGCAGCGAGACGGCTCGTATCAAGCATATACCATTTGGCGTTCACGTGTGGCTTTCGGATTGTTTCATATACATATATATATATACACATGTGCATATGTATTTGTTCCCCACCTTCTTCTCTTCGCCCGGATCTTCTCCTCGCCCGGTCTACTCCTGGAGCCTCCCTGGAGTGCCTAACCCCAGAGACTCCTGGAGTGCCCAGCCCCAAAAACTCCCTTGAGTGCCCAATTTCAGAGACTCCTGGAGTGCCCAACCCCAGAGTCTCCCTGTAGTGCCCAATTGCAGAGTCTCCATGGAGTGCCCAACCCCAGAGTCTCCCTACCCCAGAGACTCCCAGGAATGCCCAACCCCAGAGTCTCCCTGGCGTGCCCAACCCCGGAGTCTAAGCAAAAACTAAGAAGTCGTATTTAAATCAATGTGTCTTTGTTTGAACATCCTATTTGCGCTCTTTCCTTTTAACGAGGACCAAGGTGGGGATGTTCGAAGTAAAATAATTTATAGTTGTATATTCTGCACCTCTAAAGGAGTTTACATGGCCCCCTTAATATGTGGCCCCTTTACCTTCTTGTAAAGGGTGTAGGGTATTTAGGGGTTCAGGGTATATGAGGGTTTGGGGTGTAGGGTTTAGGGTTTCAGGGTATCTAAGGGGTATAGACGGGTTCCCATACTAAGGGCCCAGATGAAGGGACCATGTGGCTTCCCTTACATGTACCGAGGCTGTGACCACCTCTGCCTGAGGACGTACTTCGACCTTTCGACGGCGAAGTGTGGGGGAAAAAGCGCGGCCGTCCGCAGAAGCTGAGGACCCCGAGTCCCTTTAAGCCCCAAGCCCGTACGGCCCTAAACCCTAAATCCTAAACCCTAAACCCTAAATGCCCTACCTGTACATACATCCTAGAGCCCACCAGATTCCTACTGAATTCATCCAAGCCTTTCAAATATCCCCATTCAATTCACCCGACAGAAAAAGCCCTTTTACTTGCAGGGCACCTGTAGTTGAGGATGATCATGACCAATGCTGGTTAAAGCACATGGCCCATAACCCCAGCTATACAACCGACCGCTATTTTGTCGTACACAGTCCTGAAATTTGGCTGGCATCCAACAGAAGAGTTGCCCAATGAGAGCCACCTGCAGGGATCTGTTAAGGCCCTAGACCATGCCCCCTCTTCAGTATTCAGGGTAAGGTTTCTATTGCCCGAGCTGGTCGCTCCCCTCCTGAAACCCCTAGTTACACGTAAAGCCAACACTTCTATGTAGGGCTAAGGTTACACAGGCATAGGTCGCTACACTGCGCCCTGACGTGCAGATTTTTCCACGGTTCCAAATTCGAGGCTCAAAGTTTAGGATATTGGGTTTGGAGCTTTCGGGATATGGTCAGTGGCGGGACTCGCGTCGGCCCGAGATCTTTGAAGCGTAGGAACCCAACACCCTCAAATTCTCAAACTCCAGGAGACTGAAGCCCTACAGTCCCCACAGGGGTTTAGGGTTTAGGGCTCAGGGTTTAAATGGACCCTACATTTGGGGTTATACCCTATACTACCAAAATTCCTATTCAGGTATATGGACCATAAACCCTTTCAGAGTTCATTTGGTCCACAAGGAGGGTCGGAAAGTGGGGAGAATCCTATTGGCTCTTGGAAGCGTCTTTCTGCACCAAGAAGCAGTAAGTATAGTCTAAACCTAAACTCTGAACCCTAGACCCTCAACCCTAAGCCCTAAACGGCCACAGCCCCTAAACCGTAAACGGCTCTAAACTCTTAAACCCTAAACCCTAAACCCTAAACCCCAAACCCCAAACCCTAAACCCTAAACCCTAAACCCTAAACCTTAAACCCTAAGCCTGGATCTTGGAGCATCATGCCGGCGATCTCAGCTCACTGTCGAGGCCTTGGCGTTGCGGGGACCTCCATGGGCTTTCAGGGTTTAGGGTTTAGGGCTAGGGTTTAGGGTTTAGGGTTCAGGGTTTAGGGTTTAGGCTTTAGGGTTCAGGATTTTGGGGTTTGGGATTTAGGGTTTAGGGTTTAGAGTAGTTAGGAGCGCTTAAAGGTATACTTTGTGGGAGTAGGAGAATCCCAATTGGGGTACTTTTCTCGGGTACTCAGAGCTCTGACTTCGGACGAAGATTGTTGACACAGAAGGACTCGGGCCCCCATACCCAGAGGGTCCATTTGTAGTACTATTATGGAATTAGGCACCCACAAACCATACTAAATAGGGTTTTGGGGTCCCTATGGACCCTCTGGGATACGTTGAATCCTAGATGAGGCCCTAGGGCCTAGGGCCCCAGTTCATCGCAGCCGCGCTGAGGAGCGGGTGGCAAGCTGTCGAGTCAGTGGCGCCAGGGAGTGACGCAGCCGCCTGCAGCCGCGCTGTGGTGCTTGCACTAGACCTCGCTGTGGTGATCTCCCCGGCTCTAACCGCAGGGCGCATGATGACGACGGTGGCTCAGGGTTATGGCAGAGGATCCTCGAGAAAGGGACCTTAGTAGATACCTGCAGAACTCCCTACACACTAGTAGAAGTACGAAGGATAGAAACATTCTTTGTTACGGTTTTCATCATCCAGATGATATCCTGACCCCTAAACCCTCCCTCAAACCCCAAACACTAATTAGACCCCAAAAAATTCTGCGTTTGAAAGGCAGCGGCATCGGGAGCATTCTGGCGCGGCCGAGGTCGACGCTTCGGTGGAGTCCTGGCCAGGTGGAGCCCGAGGTTTGCTTGAGTTCAGGGTTTAGGGTTTAGGGTTTAGGGTTTAGGGTTTAGGGTTTAGGGTTTAGGGTTTGAGGTTTAGGGGGTTCGAACTATGGGCTCTTAGTTTCTAAGGGTAGTTGCATGGTCCCTTAGTTTGGGCCCTTAAACGGGTACTATATACCCTCTACAAATGAAGGGCCCATACATCAGAGCCCTTAGGTAAGGGGCCATATGAAGAGACCATCTAACTACCCGTAGATTAATCTGGGCCCCTTGCTAGATAAGCCTTAAATACACTCTATAGACAAGGGCCCATACTTCGGGATGAAGGGTAAGGAGGGTTCAGGGTTCAGGGTTCAGGGTTCAGGGTTTAGGGTTTAGGGTTTAGGGTTTAGGGTTTCGGGTTTGGGGAGGGACCATGCTAAGGGCCCACTGGGTTTGGGGGGGGGGGGGGGGGGGTGTTAGGGTGGTTTTGCCTTGAATTCTGGAGGGTGGCCTTGGCCTTCGGCTTCGGATTTACAACTCAGGCTGCAGTATTCGGTGAGGGAGGCATATCTAGTTGCCATCTGGGTTCCTCTACAGTGGTGCGAGTGGTCCGGGACGGTGCCTCTACAGTGGTGCGAGTGGTCCGGGATACCTGGGGAGCAGACATGTGCTTGTGCCCCTAACCCCTAAACCCTGAACCCTGAACCCTGAACCCTGAACCCTGAACCCTGAACCCTAACTCTAAACCCTAAACCCTGAACCCTAAACCCTAAACCCTAAACCCTGAACCCTGAACCCTGAACCCTGAACCCTAAACCCTGCCACGGCTCCCCTGTGCTCCATGCTCGCCAGGCCCGACACGCTCTTGCCATCCGGGCAGAAGCTTCTGGAACTCAAAGACCTGCCACTCGGGGTTAAGGGTATGGGGTTAAGGGTTTGGGGTTTAGGATTTAGGGTTTGGGGGTAGTTTAGGGTTTAGGGTTTGTGGGGTTTAGGGTTTAGGGTTTGTGGGGTTTAGGGTTTGTGGGGTTTGGGGTTTAGGGTTTGTGGGGTTTAGGGTTTGGGTTTGGGGTTTAGGGTTTGGGGGATCAGGGTTTGCGGTTTAGGGGGTTTAGGGTTTAGTTTGTGGGGTTTAGGGTTTGGGGTTAGGATTTGGGGTTTTGGGTTTAGGGTTTGTGTGGTTTAGGGTTTGGGGTTTAGGGTTTGTGGGGTGTAGGGTTTGGGGTTTAGGATTTGGGGTTTTGGGTTTAGGGTTTGTGTGGTGTTTGCGGTTTCTGGTTTGGGGTTTAGGGTTTGTGGGGTTTAGGGTTTGGGGTTTAAGGTTTTGGAGTTTTGGGTTTGGGGTTTAGGGTTTTTGGAGTTTCGGGCTTGGGGTTTAGGGTTTGGGGTTTAGGGTGTGTGGGTTTTGGGGTTGGTTTGGGGTTTGTAGAGTTTGGGGTTTAGGGTTTGGGGTTTAGGGTTTGGGGATTAGGGTATATAGGATTTAGGTCATTTTGGGCCTGCATACTCCGTTGTGAAGGGAATTCTGCGAGAAAGCAGGTTTGATCCCGCTGACAGCAGTGCGCGCGGAACGCATGCGCCAATCGTTAACCTTTTACCGTTTGTGGCTGCGGGCCGCCTGGGCAGTGCAGCAGAACCTTCAGGACACGGTGCACGGAATAGCTTCAGAGCCCTTTGCAAAGTCAGGTGACCAAAGCCCTTAAGAAGCCGTGGATGAACTCCACACAGACAATAGCCCACCCCTGATCGTGGAAACCGGCCGGGTGCCAGATGGTCTCAACCTGATGAGCCATTTTCCACCTTTGGTGGACAACAAACAGCGGGACGAAGCGCGAACCGCCTGCACATGCCGCGAATTCTCTCGTGGTTCCTGCGTGCCAAAGAGGCTGTGCGCAAGCATCTCCTGCGCACGGAAGGTCGGGCGCACGCAATGTGCGAGCAGGCCAAGCACAGAGTGTACAAGGCACGCGACCCTCAAAGTCTCCTCCCCCTTCCCCCCTTCACCTCCCATTCCCGAAACACAAACTCTCGTCCGGGTACCCCAGACGAAAAGGATAGAAACCCTCAAAGAACATTTACGGAACCCATATATAGGGGCCCTAAACCGTGGCACGGAACTTGCCGACTAGCACAGCTTGAAGCTTAATCCCACATGCTTAACAAACCTTTGACCCAGAGTAGTGTAGTTGCTTAGTAGGGTTTAGGGTTTAGTTTCCGTCTGCGTCAGGCCGAATACCCATCCAGCTAACTTAGACCATGATTTGGGTTTCGGGCTTTAGGGATGTAGTGCTGTGGGTTGCGCAAGTGGAGTCGGAAGTAGGGCACTAACTACACTTCTAACTTGTCAGGACGACATTTACTTAAGATACTTACGTAAGATTCCTAAGCCCCTACTTTAGAAGTCTCATAAGCTTTCCAGTGCAGGGTCTATGAGTGCTTCGTTTTGGAGCCCGAAGCCTGAATCTTAGACTTTACAACCCCTGGGCCCCACAAGCTTTACAACCCCTGGGCCCCACAAGCCTACAGCCTAAGCGATCCTGACCCCCCAAAAGCCTCAAATAATTAATCCCTAAACCGTCCGAGGAGCCCTAAATCCTCCGCAGACCCCAAACCCCAAACCCTAAACCCCACCCCAAAGCCCCCCAAACAACACCCCTAAACCCCAAGCCCTCAACCCTAAACTTTCCTAAACCCTAAATAACCCTAAACAACCCTAAATAACCCTAAATAACCCTAAATAACCCTAAATAACCCTAAATATCCCTAAATATCCCTAACCCCTAAACCCAAGAAGGTACCCTAAATGACGGCGCTAGGAGACCGGCAAAGCTTGCGCTATGGCGCCGCCGCACTGTCGGCGCGGCGGCCATGGTTTAGGGTTTAGGGTTTGGGGTTTGGGGTTTGGGGTTTGGGGTTTGGGGTTTAGGGTTTAGGGTTTAGGGTTTAGGGTTTAGGGTTTAGGGTTTGGGGTTTGGGGTTTGGGGTTTAGGGTTTGGGGTTTAGGGTTTAGGGTTTAGGGTTTAGGGTTCAGGCAGGGTTCAGAGTTCAGGGTTCAGGGTTCAGGGTTCAGGGTTCAGGGTTCAGGGTTCAGGGTTCAGTGAACAGGGGCCTAGGGTTTCGAGCCTTGCGGGCGGAAGTATGGGGACTCCTGACTCAGGCTTCTGTAGCCATATCCCTTGTCTAGGCTTAGGTTCCTTCAATCGCCCACCACAAAAAAAAGGGATGGACAGTGTCTCCCAGAATCTCTGGAAACCTGGTGGGGCTTAGGGTTGAGGGAGCTTGTTGGGTAGGGCCTTGGGGTATTTTACATGCTCCCTTATTGAATCTAAGAGGATCATGTTTAGCAAACATGATCCTCATTAGGAAGGTTTTTGCAGAGGGTTTCAAGGGCCGCAGGCAGAGAATTTGAATTATCGCCCTACACCTTAAACCCTAAACCCTAAACCCTAAACCCTAAGCCCTAAACCCTAAACCCTAAACCCTAAACCCTAAACCCTAAACCCTAAACCCTAAACCGCAAGGCTTTAGGTTGCAGGGCTTATAGGTGTGGACTTTACGCAAACTGGACTTTCGGAACCAAACCCTAAACCCTAACCCCTAAACCCCAAACCCTAAACCCTAAACCCTAAACCCTAAACCCCAAGCTCTAAGCCCTAAGCCCTAAACCCTAAGCCCTAAACCCTACACCCTAAACCCTAAGCCCTAGAGTTGAGGCTTTATCTAGGAACCCCCTCCACCCACTCCAGGCCCTGGCAACAGGACGCGCCTGTCGGCGGTTGACGGCGCGCCGGGCGGCGACATCAGCGGAGGCCCAAAACCCAAGGGTACAACCTTAAGGGTCCAAGATAGAACCTATAGAAACGAGTAGAATGTAAGGTCATTCCCGACATCCCTGTTGTGGGTGCTGAAGGCTGGGGTTCAGGGCTTGGGGTTTAGGGTTTGGGTTAAGGGTTTAGGGTTTAGGGTTTGGGGTTTAGGATTTAGGGTTTGGGGTTTTTTTAGGGTTTAGGGTTTGGGGTTTAGGGTTTAGGGTTTTTGGGTACTCGTACCACTTTGGCATGCAAGTCTTGTAAGTGTGCCCCGAGTTGTTGTGAACCCTGGTGATAAAATCTGCTTTGGGCAGGATCGAAAGATGTACCTGATGGTTCTGATGATGGTTCTGACGCATGTCCTTATGATCCTTATCTTCCCTGTCCAGTGGCTTCACCCAAACCCTAAAACCTAAACCCTAAACCCTAAACCCTAAACCCTAAACCCTAAACCCTAAACCCTAATCCCTAAACCCTAAACCCTAAACCCTAAACCCTAAGTAGCTTCATGTTCAAGGGCAGCCGATGTCAGTGTCCGGCCAGGAGACCGCCGACGACGCAGGAGTTCCCGACACGTTGTCTGAGGAGGGCTACGGGATGGTTCGGATATGGGGGCTTACGAAAAGGGGCTTACGAAAAGGGGCTTACGAAATGGGTTTAGGGTTTAGGGTTTAGGGTTAGGACGCCCAAAAATAGACCCCAAATAGTAGGATTCCCTCATAAAATGTACCCCAATAAAGTACCCCCTAATTTCGGAAACCTCCAGATACACTCAGTTCCTGTGGCCAACGCGTTTCAGTTTTGTACGTGTAAGAGGACAAGACTCGTGACACCCTGGAGGGATAACCCCAACGCCTGATGCTTCGGAATTCTCAGGTTGAACTCTCCAGTGCTGCTCTAACGCAAAACTCAAAGACTAAAGCGCAATTGAACCACACGCCCTTGAGCAAGTCAAGTGGGCCGTCTAAGTTCAGCCGCAATGGCACTTTAGTGCAAATGTGTGTTTCTATTGCTGGTTGTTTTCCATGCTTTTCTTAGTCATCGAATGAAATCATGGTATTAACGTATTAGTATGATGCTGTGTCATTACGTTTTCTTAATTTGTTTATTGTTATGTAGTGTAGTATTCTATTGTGTTTAGCTTATGATTTCATGATTTTCTCACTGGCCTTTCATATTCCATTATCGCATCATTACATAGTTTCACGTTTTAGGGTTTAGGGTTTAGGGTTTAGGATACATATGGCTGTTTTAAAACGTCGCGTCAGTACATAAGGCCAGTCGTGGCAGCTTGTTCGGCCCCGGGGTCACGACTAGTAAGATGGGAGAAGATAGCACTTACTGCACAGTATGGAAGCACAATAGCCAGATCGTTAGGGTTTAGGGTTTTAGGGTTTAGGGTTTAGGGTTTAGGGTTCAGGGTTTAGGGTTTAGGGTTAGATAGCATTCTAGCATGTTTGTGTTTCTCATTATGATAAAGTAGAACTACAGTATTGAAAAGAGCCCGAAAGCCTAAACGATAGCTTTCATCGAAGAGCGCTTCTGGTTTTGTGTGTGGCCTGGAATTTGCTATACCTCTCCTTAGGAAGTGTTATATATTTTTATGTCATATAAAGCCCAAGGGAATATTCAGAGCACTTTGTGGTTTCATTAAGGTTGTAAGGGAAGTATAGGTTATGGTTTTATAGAAACATAGCAAACAGTTGGGAACCTGATCTTGAGGATTTGTTCTGACATGATCGTTGCCAGGGTCCTCGTGGAAATACGACTTGGTCCGTTCTGTCGGCGAGGCGGGTGAGACTTCTTGACGTCGGTGTTCTGAAAGCCCTAAACCCCAAACCCCAAACCCTAAACCCTAAACCCTAAACCCTAAGCCCCAAACCCTACAGAACTCCCCCAGGCTCAGGGTGGGGCACCCCTAAACCTGAAACCCGAAAAGCCACCGATTAGGAGCGCCCCGCAAGGCTCTGGCGTGCAGGCCTCTGCTAAGAGCAGGAACGAAGAAACAACGGGGTTTAGTCGGTCGGTCGGTACGAACTGAGAGACTGTCCAAGTTTAGGGTTTGGGGTCTAGGGTTTAGGGTCTAGGGTTTAGGGTTTAGGATTTAGAGTTTAGGGTTTAGGGTTTAGGGTTTAGGGTGTGGCAATCTCTGCTTCGAGCCTTGCGCGTGGAAGAAGCACGAGTCGGACTTCAACGCTATCCGCTGCAGATCTTCCTAGACCTTCGCGACCTTAAGCCCCCCTAATCCCCCTAAACCCTAAACCCCAAACCCCAAACCCTAAACCCTACACCCTGTGGCTACGGAGGTGAACACATTTTGCATCGCGAGCCGTGGGCCGTCCTGTGACTTAGAGACCATGTAAAGACCCCTGAACTGGGCCATGCAAGTCCGGACATAAAGCCCTACAAAAGCCTACGCAAACCAGCGGTTTAGGGTTTAGGGTTTAGGGTTTATATAGGGTTTAGGGTTTAGGGTGCATAAACCATACAGAAAGCCTAAACACACCCTAAATCTCCAAGCAAACCTCCAAAATGAACCGTAAACAAACTCCAAGTAAACACCAAGCAAACTCAAACAAACAATGTTCCCGGGAATGCTGAGTAAACCCTAAAGCCCCCAAACCCTAAACTCCCCCCCCAAACCCTTAAACCACCCTACTAATAGGAATTAATTCCGTATTTCACATGTATATAGCTTTTCAAAATGCCAAAAACAAGATGAAAGCCCTAAAAGCCCTACACGGTTGAACTCCGAACTTCCGGGGTGTTTAGGGTTTAGGGTTTAGGGTTTAGGGTTTAGGGTTTAGGGTTTAGGGTTTAGGGTTTACGGGACATCAGGAGTGCCAGACCGAGCCGGAGTTGAGGAAACTGGTGGAGAAGAAGCCGGACTTTGCTCCTTGGTATTACGGCTTCTGCGCGGGGTTTAGGGTTTAGGATTAGGGTTTAGGGCTTAGGGTTTCGGGTTTAGGGCTTAGGGCTTAGGGCTTAGGGCTTGGGGTTTAGGGTTGGTTCTAAAGGGGTGTATCAGGTTGTTTAGGACTTTCGCATTTGAGAACTGTGGGGCCATAAGCGGGCTTTATGCTGGGAGTTCGGTTTTTTGGCTTGAGGAAGGTTTAGGGTTTAGGGTTTGGAGGGTACGGTTTTGGGCCCAAAGGCCTTCGAATTTGAATCCCTAAACCCGAACCCTAAACCCTAAACCCTAAACCCTAAACCCTAAACCCTAAACCCTAAACCCTAAACCCTAAACCCTAAAGCCGAACAAAAAATGAAGAGACCTGTGAGCCTCCGAGGTTTGCTACGACGGCTTTGAGCCGAGCGGGCGAATGCACATTGCGCAGGGCGCACCTTCGGCGGCAGAGGATTTTTCTACGAATTGCCTAAGAACCCCCCCCCCCCCAAAAAAAAAAAAAAGAATAAATATATATATATATATATATATACAAAATATATTCTTACTGAATAGGGTAATACAGGGATTATTATAGTTTGTGTTTTTTTGGGGGGGTTCTTAAGCAAATATAGTAGGTTTGGGGTGTTGCGATTTTGGGAAATTTGGTGTTTGCGGTATCTCTTGGTAGCCCAGTGGTACCCCCCTTCTTTTGGTATATACAATCTAGGATGCCCGGTAGTACCCTTATTCCCTTTTTGGTGCCTTTGGGCTCCCTTGTAAAGCCCTTTAAGGTAAAAAGGGCACCCTTTTTACCCCTAGGTTACTGCGCAACCTAGCAATGACAAGGTTCCCTTGTACAGAAGCCAACCAAAGAATGGGGACCCTTATTACAACAAGGTTAAGGGTTTAGGGTTTCGGGTTTAAGGTTGCTACGACGGGCAGCTCATGGTGCCTTCCAACACGTGGAAGGGGTTGCAAACGCCGTCAATCAGGCCCTCAAAGAGGCATCCGACAACGCACAGGCATGGGGGGGCCAGTCTTGGGGGGGTACACCGACAACAGAGCAAAAGCCCAAGAAGGGCAAGGCCAAGCTTCTGACCACGGCCTTGGATGAGCTCTGCAAGCTGAAGCGTGCCAAACTGGAAATCTCAAAAGCTTGTCAGTGTCACCTTTGAGGACGGGCCTGCCGCGGGCGATGTAGATTCCTTCCTGTGATAGGGTTTACGTTTTTGTGTTAAGGATTTCGTGTTCAGGGCTAAGGGTTTATCGGGCCAAGATTCCCGATGATCTGGCGCTCAACCGCAGGATCCAGATGCTCGGGCATATTTTGGGAGGCGCTATACGTACCCAAGATTAGCCCTCTACTTCCGAGATCCTCCCATGTTGGGAAACTAAACTGCCTCAAACCCTGAACCCTCAACCCAAGCCCTAACAGACCCTAACCCTAAACCCTAAACCCTAAACCCTAAACCCTAAACCCTAAACCCTAGACCTCTAAAACCCTGAACCTATAACACCCCCAAGCCCTCATCCCCAACCCGCAGCTCCGAGCCCTGCAGCCCTGTCCGTCAAGAGATTCAAGGCTCAAGGGTTTTGGGATGTTTGGGGTTTAGGGTTTGGGGCTTTAGGGTTTCGGGTTTAGGGTTTAGGGTTCAGATCTTCGAGTTTCCAGAAGGGCTCCCCAGCCCTCAGCCCTGGGGCATCCCAGACTTGCGGATTGCACGTCTTGCTTGTCCAAGGTCTTCAAGTGCGTCAACGTCAACAAGTGCACCAAGGCAGGCTGGGTTTTCCGGGCGGGCCGGGTAGCTCTAAGGAGCGTGGGGGGTTGGGGGTTTCACGGGTAGCTAGAAGAATACGGAGGTCGACGAGTATAGCTTCCCCTGTTGCCAAGGTAGTTAAGTTGTAGGGTTTTGAGGGTATACTTAACTGACTGCCGGTTAGCAGGGAGTGCGGGGTATATATATATATGTATTTATATTTATATTTACTAATATATACCTTTAAGGGATGATGTAGGGTACCTCCTTCCCCCCATTCCCTACTAACCAACAGTAAGCTAAGTCTTCATCCCGAACCCAAAGCCCTGAATGATCCGAAGCCCTAAACCTTGGGTTTAGGGTTTCGGGTTTAGGGTTTAGGGTTTAGGGTTTGGGTTTAGGGTTTAGGGTTGAGGGAAGACCCTAAAGCCTAAACCCAAATCCCAGAACCCTTACTAAAACACCCTAAACCCCAAACCCAATGCCCTAAACCCTAAACCCCTGGAAGTTCCCATATTCTTCCCTCACTCTACTAAGGGTTCAGGGTTCAGGGTTCAGGGTTTAGGGTTTAGGGTTTGGGGTTTGGGGTTTAGGGCTCAAGAACCAGCCAGGCTGGCGGCAAGTTCATTTTTTGGGTGGCAGACCCTTGGCGACTGATGGATTTGGGGTTTTGGGTTTAGGGTTTAGGAGCCCTAAGGCCCTAAGCTCTAAACCCTAGGGTTTAGGGCTTAGGGGTTCAGAGATATAGGTGCTTGGATGGCTCAGGATTTTTTGACTCAGGTTGTAAGGTGTACAGTTCTGACTATCAGGGCTTCACACGTTGTAGGAATGTGGAGCAATGCGGAAAGTGACAGTGGCCCCGCACCACTGAGTGGCCATGAGTACTGTAAATGCCTGATGCTTTTGGTGTATAGTTCCAGAACCCTAAACCCTAAACCCTAAAGCCTGGCCATTACGTGTTTAAGGGCATGGTTGACAATACCTGGGGAAGCATGATGGGCTGAGGACTGGTTCGCGCTCATGAATGACAAGATGGGAGGCCCCCCGCCCAACAGTAGGGTTTAGAGTTTAGGGTTTAGGGTTTAGGGTTTAGGGTTTTTCGAACGCTCGTGTAGGGTTTAGGGTTCAGGGTCAGGGTCCCGAGCGCTTCATGCTCAAAGCTTGCCAAGTGTCTTAGAGTTGCTTTCCAGTCGGCAGGTCGCTTGACGCTGTTGCGGGCTTGAAGCCCTAACCCTAAACCCTAAACCCTAAACCCTAAACCCTACACCCTAAACCCTAAACCCCAGGAGCCCCGCTCCTCTGTTAGTAGTAGCTGGGTTGTTGAAACATGCCCTGACACCCTGTTAAACCAGAAAAAGGCTCTCAAGCTATGGTTGTAGGGTTTAGGGTTTTGGGTTTTGGGGTTTAGGGTTTAGGGTTTAGGGTTTAGGGTTAGGGTTGAGGGTCTTCAAAAGCGCCCTGACTTCGGGTTCCAGAAAGAACCCACCGGGATGGGTACCCTTTTGGTTGCCCTAAACAGTCCTGGCGGCATGAATCTGCCCCAGGCGACATTGACAAGATTCGCACGGTTGGAGAGTGCCCGATGCTGCTTGCTACAGACGGATGTTGAGGTTATGGCTTAGAACCTACGATTCCAAGTCTGGGCAATCAATTTTTGAGTTCCTTGTTATGGAACCCTTATATACGCTAACTATAACCCTAAACCCTAAACCCTAAACCCTCAACCCTAAACCCTCAACCCTAAACCCTCAACCCTAAACCCTAAACAAATACTTCGGATCCCTGCAAACAAGGGTGAGGGACCATACTACGGGCCCATGGTCCCAACCTGTGAGGTTCAGACCTTGAGTCTGGAGGGTCGCTAGGTTTAGGGTTTGGGGTTTAGGTTTAGGGCTTAGGGTTTGGGGCTTAGGGTTAAGGGTTTGGGTTCAGGGTCACATGCGCAACTGTCGCAAGCCTCAGTCCTGCACATCGAATGTTGGCGCAAGACTCGATCCTCGGCAAAGGCTTTCGTTAAGGGAGACCCAAGGGAGACCCAAGGGGTGTGGGTTGAGGTTTAGGGTTTGGGGTTTAGGGTCTAGGGTCTAGGGTCTAGGGTTTAGGGTTTCGGGTCTAGGGTTTAGGAGTGCAGTGTATGTTTGGATATTTTTCGGGCTGTTTTTGGATGCTTTGGGAGCCATAGGAAGCCTAGAAGGTCTGAGTCCCTTGAGGACTTGAGGTTTAGGGTTTAAGGTTTAGGGTTGAGGGTTTAGGGTGTAGGGTTTAGGGCTGAGGGTTGCGGGCTTTGGGCTAAAGGTGGCCGCCCGCAGAAATTGGCTCACCAGCCATAGCTGGAGGCTCCGTGCTGCACGGGAGACGCCCCAAATCTATTGAGAATCCTCAGCAACCCCAATAGACATCCAGAAAACCCTAAACCCTAAACCTGAAATAGGCCGCACCCAAATTTGCAAGGGCTTCCGCATCCGGCAGAGATTATCCCTCAACATGCCCCTCAACCCTGCATGACAGACTCGTCTGGGCTTGGGCGTTTTAGGGTGCAGGGATTTCACCGGTCATTTCTCAAAAATCAAACTGACATTTGGAGGTCTTGGGGTTGGAGCTTTGGGATTTCAGGTCTAAGGTTTCGGGCTTTGACTGCTTTAGGGTCTAGCTCACCTGACACGCTTTAGCGCGGCCGGTAAACAGCCGGCCAGCCGCACGCTCGGTCTTCTACGCGCGGAGGCTTTCAAGGCATACATTGACTAGGGCTTAGGGTTTAGGACTTAGGAATTAGGGTTTAAGGTTTAGGGTTTAAGGTTCAAGGATTAGGGTTTAGGGTTTTAGGGTTTTAGGGTTTAGGGTTTAGGGTTTAGGATTCATAGGGCCTAGGGCACACTACGAGGCATCATGTGGCTTTTTGCCGGCGTTTCAATCCACTCTAAGCCCTCAAGCGTCCTAGGCAATCCCTGATTCTCTAAACCCTACAAAAAGTCTCAACCCTAAGGCCTAAATCCCTACACCCTAAACCCTAAACCCTACCAAAGTCCCACACGCTAAACCCTTAATTCGTACCCCTAAGGTTGTACCCCTAAAGGTACCCCTTAAAATACTCCTAATGTGGCCCTTCGGTTAGGGTCTAGGGTTTAGGGTTTGGGTTTCCAGGGGTCACGTGGAAGACCGGGCTTCGTAACGTAGCAACGTCGCTGCTCCCGCGCCCGTTCCCGGGACGCTGCCGGGAGGACGAAGGCCAGGGAGAGGAACTGTCCCTAACCCTAGACCCTAAACCCTAAACCCTAAGCCCTAAACCCCTTTAGGGTTTAGGGTTTAGGGTTTAGGGTCTAGGGTCTAGGGTCTAGGGTCTAGGGTTTAGGGTTTAGGGTTTAGGGTTTAGGGGGTTTAGAGTTCAGGGTCACATCATCATATCGCCTCCTCCGTGTCCAAATCGTCGCAATTGGCCTACTGCCACATTGCAAGCCCCACGACCCTGGTACCCTAAAACCCTAAACCCTAAACCCCAAACCCTAACCCTAAACCCCAAACCCCAAACCCTAAACCCTAAACTCAAATCCCTGGAGAAAAGTCCTCTTCAGCAGAAGTCGGGTGAGCTTCATATGGGAACTTCCAGGGGTTTAGGGTTTAGGGCTTTGGGTTTGGGGTTTAGGGTGTTTTAGTAAGGGTTCTGGGATTTGAGTTTAGGCTTTAGGGTCTTCCCTGAGCCCTAAACCCCAAACCCCAAACCCTAAACCCCAACCCTAAACCCCAAACCCTAAACCCCAAACCCTAAACCCCAAACCCTAAACCCTACACTCCGAAACCCTAAGGCCTATAGGCCCCAAGCGCCTTTGAACAAGTTCAATCTTGAAGAGTGGAAAATCCATGTTCAGCGAGATCACCTTCCGTATCGACGAGACTGTCGACAATGCTTGGAACGAGCCACCGGGAAACCTCACAAAAAGATCATGCACCCATCTGCTTACACGCTGTCGGTCGACCTGGCAGGCCCTATGAAGCTTCGTGGCCTTCGTCAGTTCAAGTACCTGATGGTGGCATGCTATCGTTTCCCTCGTATACCTCTGACTGCTCGCCATGATCCAGCTGAGGAGGAGCGGGTGGAAGCACAGCCAGACGATGGAGAGGACTGGTGAAATCCCTGACCATCCCCACGCCCAGTCCCAAATCCCCAACTCGAAACCCTAAACCTCAAACCCTGAACTCAAGCCCCCCCCCCCCCCCCCCCCCTACGAGCCTTGCCCCCTGCAAACAGCCTGAATTTCTTAGCGCTCTTCAGGGTTTAGGGTGTGGGGGTTGAGGGTCTAGGGTCTACGTACAGCCTTTTCACACCAGAAACCCCAAACCCTATACCCTAAACCATAAACCCGACACCCTATAGACCCTAAATCTTAAGCCCCAAGATCTAAACCCTAAACCCTAAACCCTAAACCCTAAACCCTAAACCCTAAACCCTAAACCCTAAACCCTAAACCCTAAACCCTCCTTTGGGGCCCCTCCTCAAGCCGTGAGCTGCAAACAGGGCCATGGGCGCAGGTCAGGGTTGCAGCGCCCGGGGGCCCAGGGTTCGGGGTTTAGGGTTTAGGGTTTAGGGTTTAGGGTTTAGGGTTTAGGGTTCAGGGTTCAGGGTTTTGGAGTTAGGGTTTAGGGTTTGCGGTTTAGGTCTTCTCTTTACATGTTTGGAGCCGGTTTATGTGTTCTACATGGGTTTAGGGTTTTTGCAGGGTTCAGGGTTTGGGGTTTAGGGTCTGGGGGCTTAGGTTTAGGACTAGTTTTTGGGTTCAGAGCGTCGGGCTAAGGTTTTGTTAAAGGCTTGTTCCTAAACCCTAAACCCTAAACCCTAAACCCTAAACCCTAAACCCTAAACCCTAAACCCTAAACCCTAAACCCTAAACCCTAAACCCTAAACCCGGTTTAGAAATTTGTGTGATTCCGAATTTGCGAAGGGACTCGCCCGGCAGCCCAAGAGTCCGTGGTTTAGGGTTTAGGGTTTAGGGTTTAGGGCTTAGGGTTTAGGGTTTAGGGTTTAGGGCTTAGGGTTTAGGGTTTAGGGTTTAGGGCTAGGGTTTAGGGCTCAGGGAGGATCACCCTTTTGCGTTTGGAAACCCAAACTCCTTAAATCCTGGGTTTAGGGTTTAGGGTTTAGGGTTTAGGGTTTAGGGTTTAGGGTTTCTGCTGCTCGGCGACTGGCAAGGAGTTCAGCATTCCCGGCGGCGCCTCGGCGTCGTCGTCTTCTGCAGTGTGCGCAAGGACTCCGTCGACGAGTACTGCTACTTCGACAGTGGGGGGGTGGGGGGGGGGGCAGTCCTGCCCATCGAGATGGCCAGCGACAATGGCAGATTCAGGGGCCCGTGGCTGTGGGGCATCGCCAAGCGCATCGAGCGGTTCTTCGGGGGAGAAGTCGGTGGCTGCGTCTTTCGCCACTGTGGGGATGGAAGCTCTGCAAATTGCAAGATGACTCTTCCAGCACGGCGGGGCCATTGTTTCAGCATGTGTTTGAAGGTTTGTTTGCCTGTTGCTTACAGTTTTGTGCAGGTTTTGTACAGGTGTTTTCCTAAACCCTAAACCCTAAACCCTAAACCCTAAACCCTAAACCCTAAACCCTAAATCCCTAAGCCCTAAACCCTAAACCCAAAACACTCAACCGCAGCTGGTTTTGTAAGTTTGCTCTTTAGGCCCTCTTGGGGTGCGTAGTAGGGTTGCTGTTAGGGTTTAGGGTTTAGGGTTTAGGGTTTAGGGTTTAGGGTTTAGGGTTTAGGGTTTAGGCAGTAGGGCTTAGGGTTTAGGGTTTAGGGAGTAGGTTTTAGGGTTTAGAACAGCGTTTTGAGGCTTAGGCGCCCAGGGTTTGTAGTGTCTTGTTTGGGTCGTTTTTTCATACTGTTTCGGTCTAGCCGCCTTGTTAAATGAGGGACGGCTCCTTACAAGGGGAGCAGAACATCAGGTAAGCAATTCCCTTTTTCCTCATCCTAAATAGGAACTAGTAAGCTTAGATAAGGGTCCTCATATCATGTAAGAGTATGATTCAACCATCGGGGGTATGTTGGAGTTTTTTGGGAACTTTGCAGGAGGCCTCACAAGTAATGTCATAGGTCCAACATCCAGGGTTTAAGATTACAGATTAAAGGGTGTGGGATGAGCCTAAACCCTAAACCCTAAACCCTAAACCCTAAACCCTAAACCCTAAACCCTAAACCCTAAACCCTAAACCCTAAACCCTAAACCCTAGACCCCAAACCCCAAACCCCAAACCCCAAACCCTAAACACTAAACCCTAAACCCACGGCAAAAGCGGAGGTCATCAAGGACGCCTCTTCCTGCGTCCTGCCAGCGGTGCCGGAGGAGTGTTGGGAAGTTCGTAAGTAGGTTTGGACTTTTGTGTTTTGTGGTTTGGGTTTTACCCTAAACCCTAAACCCTAAACCCTAAACCCTGAACCCTAAACCCTAAACCCTAAACCCTAAACCCTAAACCCTAAACCCTAAACCCTAAACCCTAAACCCTAAACCCTAAACCCTAAACTCAAATCCCTGGAGAAAAGTCCTCTTCAGCAGAAGTCGGGCGAGCGCCGCAGATCTGGGAGTGTTGCAGC